CTAGCGCGCGCGCACACACACACACACACACACACATACACGTGCGCGCTTATGAATGTTCACGTGTGAGAGTTTCACGTATCAGCGCGTAATGAATGACTAACCGCGTAACCTATTAGTTAGGCACTCGTTTCCCATAATCCAGCTGACATGCTGATTCGCCTTTTTGGTGTTAACCAAATCCGGCTCAGATTCGCACAGCTCGTATTGTATATCAAAAATTAAGAAAAAGATAATAAATCGAATAAATATTTATTTAAGTATCCAAAAATTTTTCGTCTATTTGAACATAAAATCTGAGATATTTTTTTTTTTCAATATAGAAACTGTAGATTTTTTTATTTATAAAAATATACATATATATATAAAAGGATCGCTCGTAATGTAAATACAAAGTAAAGATAAGAAAGTCATTAACAAAGTCAATTTGATGACTAATACGAGAAGTTATTTAATATAATTAAAAGGCAATATGTTGTAAAATACATGCGATACTTTTTGTCGCATTATATTAAATTACAATTATATTAAAAAACTTTCTCAGATTGCTCAAATTAATCTCGTTAATATTTTTCTTTTATTTATTTATGTTGAAATGAATAAAAACAAGAATTATCACTGTTATAAAAATTTCAATTCTGCAATATTTTTATTACTACAAAAGTAAATAACTCAATTCGTGATGACATTCGTGTCGTATCTTTTTCAAATATTGATGTGACGTTCTCCCAAAAATCGATAGCTCGTAACTGGAGAGCAATTTGCGGTGCACGCTCTGTGGATGATAAAGGCACGCCAGAATTGGTAAATTTAGGGTCGTAGAGCGAAAACAGAGAGGGTGATACAATTAGGTCGCTTTCCTGGATGAAGGGTTTTACATCGGCGTTATTAAAATTGATATGGAAGAGAAATGGAGAGAGAAAGAGAGAGAGAGAGATGTGAGGTGCTTAACGTAGTTTAAGCACTTCCTGCTGCTATACAAACGAGCTATGTTACCTTCTTTTATGGACAATACCTGCGTTGCATAATGCATTCCGATTGACTGTGCTCTTCTTGAGAGTGTCGCATGTAAGAGAGAGAGAAAAAAAAGAAAGAGAGAGAGAAAGACGCGATATATTCCAGATAGCATTATACTGACATGTGTCACCACCAAGACCTGTTATTATCAAAACATGACAGAGAAACAGCGCTCTTTGCGTCGCAGAAAAATTCGAGAAAACCAATTTACAAAGATTCATTTGATTTAAAATTTATACAGGGTGAGTCTGATAAAAAAAAAGGTCAGTACGTTTTTCTCAAAAACGATTAGAGATAGAGAAAGACATCCGTTATCAAAATTGTAGGACAGTGAAAAAAACATACTTTGAATAACCTTAAATAGTTTTTTTCACATTACCAATCAAAACTTTGTTTTGTTTCTAATGGAAAGGGGTATTTTTGAATCACTCTTTCGATAGTACTCGATGAGCGTAATAACCTTTATATTAAAGTATTTTTCGAAACCGGCCCAGTGATCTCGCGGTCTGAGTGCAAGGGCTGCGAACCCGGAGTTCTCGAGTTTGAATCCGCTCACCACCTAAAGGATTTTTTCCGGGCCCGGTCCCCCTTTCAATCGAATGTATCGATTGATTTGGCGAACAGAAGAATCGAGACTCCAAAAATTAATTCGAATGTAATCTCGAATTAATCATCCTCCTCCCACAAGGCGATCAGAGTCACAACATCTCGAAGCCCGACACAAATGGGGCACGCCCACTGTGAAAGAAGGCCGTGTATCGCGTGGTAGTAGGAACAAGAACTGCACAGAAAAGCTAAGGAAAAAAATAGAAAGAAACCAGAGAATAAAGTAAAAAGGAGAAGATATGAATGTGGCCCGGAAAAATCTCACGACGGTTAAGGGGCACGTTAAAATCAAATAGCATAAAAAAAAAAGTATTTTTCGAAAACTCAACCGTTGTTGAGATATAAACAAAATTAGTCAAAATAAAAAATATGGCACAAATCTTTTTACTATTGCGATAAGTGCTCAAAAATTATTACTTCAGACGTATCTGTAGTCATCGTAGAATCTTGCTTGAATTTCTTCTAACTCTTGAACGGTTTATTTCGCAGAAAGTATTTTGTTATTCTGTCTATCATGTTTCCTCGAGTGGTAAGACGGTAAAAATAAGCTAGTTTTCCACTTTTCTCTTTCCACCAAGATTTATAGCTTTTGGCACTCTCTTGAAAATAATATTATTTTGTAAAAATTATATCACACAACTATAGTTTTCTTAAATAAAATTGTCCACATACTTTTATTTATGTGCGTCCGACGCATATTGCATATTTTTATACAAAGGTTAAGGATGCGACACAATACCGCCCGGTGGTTTCTCGTGTCAGGTCGCGACGTGACGGGGCGTTCGCTTTATCGTTTTATCGTATACGCGTCGGAAAACGAGGCGTCGACGGGCATCGACACTTTTATCGTTCTGTGTATATTTTGTGTGTATTTCACTTAATCATATTACATCGGTACACATGACGCGCGCTCGCATGACGTTTCTCTGTTCGCGATGTGTCCGACGAAATTTAATCCCGAGGAAATCGAATTTCGACCATCGATACACCTTTGTACGGAAAAGGGATCCAATCAGTCTGTGCATTTTTTTTTGTTCTATTAATTTTACCTTTTATCTTGGGACAAATACGCTCGGCTAGTGTCACGTTTGCGTAACGATGTACAAATATATATATATATATATTTTTTTTATCTTCAGAAAGAAAAGATATAGAATTGTTTTTTCTTTTTTTAGCACATAATTATATATTCAAGATAATACAAAACTATTAAGACACGATGTTTTTCAAGTATTTACACATAATTTTTTTCTTATTTTTTTTTAAACTGCTGAGAGGATGTTTTAGCAGCGAAAGTTAGATTTCATTCTAAAGATAGTCTACGCACATTTCTAAATAATTCGTGTGTAAAAACATACGAATTATTTAGAAATGTGCTTTTCGAGTGGAAATCACTTTAAATAGACCTGACGTTATCTACAAATGAGTGTTTTATTATGTTTTACTATATTGTTTTTATTTTACTTTTGTTCTGTAATAGTTTGAATAAACGTTTTAAACTGCTACGGAAAATAGTATATTCTTATACAGGGTGTTTCAGAACTATGGGATCAAACTTTTAGGGGTTATTCAGTGCAACAGTAGAAAACATTTGAGTATAGGGACCCATGTCCGGAAAAGTGTCACTACCGCACTACGGCCCTAAGACGCGTTAAAATTTAGAA